ACAGAGAAAACATACAAACCAATACAAATTTCTATTTGCATGCTAAAAGCTTACCAGAGGTCACTTGGAATTATTACTAATGTATTAATATTATTATTACAGGACACCACCACAACACCAATTTAACCAGACATGCCTTTTGTTAAATTCAAAGGCCAAATGGTATTTATACAGCTGCTCCAAACATGCTGTAAATGCCAAAATAACCACACCCATTTAATAACAAGCAGTTATAAGTATGGATCAGGTGCTTACAAGAGGACTAGATCTGGGGTTCTCAGACCCATGTTGTCTGGCTCCAACTTGGTCAGGCAGCTACTAGTAACAAACCCTTCAGGAGTTCACCCTTTTTACCTTACCTATTGGTCTCTACGTGACTGAGAATTTCTTTCTTTGCTTAAACCAGTTGGAACAACCCTTGGAAATTGAGGCCTCTTCTTCAAGGCCTTTTCCTCCTATCTTACAGTTACCTTCCAGGTCCAGTTTTTCCAGTGAAGCCACATTCTTTCCAGCAACTGCTAACAACAAGGCCTGCAGGTTACACAAACTGCAAAGCATATATTTTCTTTAGTCAACCTAATTTTATCCTTTACATACCTATCTAATCCTACAGTTACCCATCAGTCTTATGGGGTCCTAGGAAACCAAATTCTTTCCAAACCTTCCCTCAAGAGTTGTGGATCCCTTAGACAGAAGGCCCTGTCCATTTGTCAGATCAGAAAGAAGGCCCAAAGTCAGTTTAAACACAGCCTTTTTATGCCAAAAGCCCTTTCTTTGCCTATTGGTCTCTGGAAAACCCATGTGTTCTTCATCATGAAAGTGTAGTTCTCCTCTCAAAAGGGACTCCATAAATAGGGCAGCATGGAGGTTCTATTATGGTGTGTGACAAAGTGTGAGCAGCCTAAGGCTGACTCTCCACTTTGTGCACTTGGCAAGTGTCTTCACATGGGCCAAACTGAGAAGACAAGTAGTTAAGGACTGCATGATTTACCAGTTAACAAGATGATTCAGCTAGTCAGTGGAGGACAGTTAAAAGACAGATAGGAAGAGAGGGCAGACCTAGTGTTTTCTCCCAGTGCATGTGGATGAATTTCTTAGGCCTTGTCTACACTATGGGGGGAGATCGAGCTAAGTTACGCAACTTCAGCTATGTGAATAACGTAGCTGATTATACTGCAATGTCTTGATTATACTGCAAATAATTGAAGACCTTCCCCGCCACCCCCGTGCAGGTTCGCTTTTATATCTAGAAAGCAGAATAACGGCTTGTGTGGCTCATCCAACGAAGTGGCATCTCCAGGGCTGTACGGCTGTGGGAGGCAGTAGATTCTCAGAGAAAGGGAGAGTCAAGGACAGTTGAATTCAATCATCTAATGGCCAGAGCTGGAAGGAGGAGCTGTGTATTCTGGATTCTATTTCTGCTGTGATATACTGAGATCTGGAAATGAAGGATGCTACATAAGTGCAAAACATTCTTACAATTATTATCTTAAAACTACAAAGGGACAAACATAATGAAGGGTGGGTCCAGGTTTGGAAGTGGATTTCTCAAAAAATCAAAGGATTTTGGAGGGGAGTATTCCAGACTGGATTGTTCACTTCTTAAAACCCTACTGTATTGTACTTGAAATTTAGAACACTTTTGTACTTCATCCAGCAATGCCCAACAAAATGGTGCCATTCCTTGGACACCAGGGTTTGAGGGCTTCAGCTGGGCGACAGTATTTGATAAGGCTAGTCAATTGTATTTCTTGCATAGTTCCCATGCGTAGCTGAAAATATCATCTTTCCCTCCACCCCCAGTCAGTTCACGCAGTGTAGACTTTGACAGCAGTGCATTATAATGCAAATATAATATATAGCATTGACCTTGTATGAACTCACTATTATATTTTATAATCCTCTCCATTTCTACGTTTCTTTCCATAGCTGTGGAGCAATTTTCTTTCTTTTCTTTGTGAGTATTAAACATGCATTTTACTGTATTGATATTAAAAGCCACTTGTTTCATTGGCAATGTAAACAGAATGGTTGCTTTAAAAAGTATGTCATTTGCCGTTGGTTTCCCTGGTTTTCAGCTACCAGTAATCTCTCTTCTAAACTGCAAAAATATTCATAATTATCTTCTAAAAAGTTACACATGTCACCAATGTACATTTCTAAATATGATCTACATTTCTGCTGTTGCCGTGCTGATGGTTTGGCACACGTAATCATTTTAGAACTTATAAAACCATATGTCTCAAGCCAACAAGCACACAGCTGTTTAAAGCAGGTTTTAAATTATGTTCCTGGCCTGTAGCTAACATCATCCTTACAATATATAACAGGAACAGTAAATAAAAGGCAAATCACTAACTGGGAAATATAATCAAGAAACAAGAAAATAATCTCCCTTAATAAAAAGGAGATTGCATTGCATAGTCATGACAGCAAGTGCCATTAAGATATCAGCACTCCATTATCTACAGTACCCTGACTATTTAATTTGCTGCTCTGAGCGATCTTTAATATACAGAACAACAGGGCTCATGCAAAAGTAATTTAAATGTATTCCAAATCCTCAACTTTTAGTTTATTTATATTTTCTCATTTGTGATCACTCTAGTTTGGAATGTATTTTTCAACTGCCAGATTCTTCATTTATTTATTGTGTTCTTTCAACTACTGGTTCCCCTACTTCCCCTCTCTCTGTGTGACTACACCAAACTCATTACTTGCAAGTTGCCGCTAAAGGGAGGATTGCTGCCTTGTAAACAAAACTATTGTGAAGTCAGGAACTCAATCACGATACCACAAAATGTAAAATCTGGAAATTCAAATCAATAACAAAATATCCTAGCATGTATATTGAGAGCATGATTTTCTTCAAAGGCTCACTCTGGCAAACTCCTGGCTTGCATGTATATTGGGGGTTGCACATATAGAAGTGAACCCCTGAAATTCCAGCATATAATACTAAAAATAGAGTAAATGGGAAAATATTAGGGCTGTCGATTAATCAGAATTAACTCACGCTATTAACTCAAAAAAACTAATAGCTATTAAAAAAATTAATCACACTTTTAATCGCACTGTTAAACAATAGAATACCAATTGAAATTTATTAAATATTTGTGGATGTTTTTCTACAAACAAACAAAAAAATCCACATTTGTAAGTTGCACTTTCATGATAAAGAGATTGCTCCTCAGTACTTCTATTAGGTGACTTGAAAAATACTATTACTGTAACACTTCTCTATCTCTACTGGAAATACCTCTCCTGACCAGTCCCTGAGGAACTCCACTAGTAACCTCCCCGCAGCCTGACCGTTCATCTTTCAGTATGATCCATTGTAGTCTCCCCTTTAACCAGTTCCTTACCCGAATTTGGTTCTTGTACTAAACCCTATCTTCTCCAATTTAACTAACGATTTCCCATGTGGAACTGTATCAAATGCCTTACTGAAATCCATGTAGTTTAGATCTACTGCGTTTCCTTTGTCTAGAAAATCCTTTGTCTTCTCAAGGAAAGAGATCAGGTTGGTTTGATATGATCTACCTTTTGTAAAACCATGTGGCATTTTATCCCAGTTACTGTTTACCTCTATGTCATTAAATATTTTCTCTTTCCAAATTTATTCTAAGACTTTGCATACAACTGAGGTCAAACTAACAGGCCTGTAGTTTCCCAGATCACTTCTTTTCCTTTCTTAAATATAGGTACTATAATTCTCCAGTTGTTGTGTACAACACCTGAGTTTACTGATTAATTAAAAATCTTTGTTTTGGGGGCTTGCAATTTTGTGTGCTGGTTCCTTTAATATTCTTGGATAGAGAGTATCCAGGCCCCTGATTTAGTCCCATTAAACTGAGTTTGACTTCCACGTTGGATGTGGTAATTTTGACTTCCATATCCTTGCTCCCATTAGCCACGCTGCCACTGTCCCGAAACTCCTCATGACTCCTATTAAAAAGTGAGGCAAAGTATTCATTTAGGTGGTGGCTATGCCTAGATTGCCTTTAATCTCCAAATCTTAAATGATGAGAGAGCACATAATAAAGGAGTTCAGATACTTTACTTGTGCGGGTGTTACGAGGCTTGACAGAGGCCGCCGCGTATGAAATGTTGCAACTTCCACACACGACGATTTACATATGGACTTAACTTCAAACACTGTGACTAGTGCCACTGACTGCACCCATGACCCAATGCTCATTATTAATCAATTAGTATTTCCATAGCACCTGGATCCCTCGTCATGGACAAGGACCCCTTGTGCTAGGCACTGTACAAACTCAGAACCAAAAGATGCTCCCTGCCCCAGAGAACTTACAGTTTAACTATAGGACAAGAGACAACAGGTGGATACAAACAGACGGGAGAGCACAAAGAAACAATGAGACAACACCGCTCAGCATGATAAGCAGTGGTCTCTGGCAGCCTCTTGTCAATAATTTTGTAGATTTCACAGCACAGGAGAGTTTTAAGAGGGATTTGAAAAAGAATCATGATGAGCTCCAGTCCTCCCAACTGAGGGGCAGCATGGGAGAAAGCATGAACATGCTTGTTCAAAGTGAGTAATGAAGGATGAAAGTTAAGCAGCCATGTACTTTTTTGCAGGATCAGAGCCTTAATGCATAGGGCGATTTTGCTTGTATTTCTAATTATTTCTTTGACTTGTACCGGGCCAACTCTTATGTACTCAGCACAGTTTAAATAAAATTACAGATCAAAAAAATGTATTCAAAAATCCTAATCCTGAAAAGGCAGAGTTTTTAAACTTGGGCAAGTGCTTAGCAAGCACACACAGGAGCAATGTTTGAAGAATTTCATGAAGATTTGTTCTGCTCAAAGGAAACTGAAATGCTTATAACCCATCTCCCCACCTTCTATCTATGCAGTGTCTTTGATTTTAAAAACATTTCCTGGTATTTTCTTGTTTTTTTTTGGTTTTTTTTCCCTCTCCCAGTCATTCTCTCTGAGGCACAGTTGAGGAATTGCTACCATTAATATTTCATAACCCCTGGAGTATGTGCTAAAAACATGGAAATTTAGACACAAATCACATATTGGTGTTAATGTCATGTTTTGGTGTGTGACTTTCAGGTCTCTGAGAAGGAAATTTAGATGCTGTCTCTCTCGCGCACGCTCAAAAAAAAGAAAAAAACTATCAGTAAAAATATATCTGGCAAAAACACACTGAGAGTTTTCCAATGGTTTAAACAATTTTATCACATCCTGGAGTGACTTATTAGAAGTGTCTTCAACCTTTATATTTTCCAATAACAACCTGATGTCTTCACCATATCTTATGGAACTATAATTGGCTGAATCCAGATACCGGTGCCTGGAGGGCATACAGTCTTACAGACTTTAATGGCTCATTAGGTATTTATTCACTTTACCTTAAACAGCTCAGCCATTTGTGGAAAATGAGCCTTTAAAATAGAATTAAGGCTTTTTTCCTAAGCGTAGTGTGTTACCTGAACTGTTGCTGAATTTAAATTTCCAAATCTGCCGGTTTAATTTGGCTTTCCCGTCTTTCTTTTTCAACAGGAGTTATAGCTTTATAATAACCTCTTCGGCTTTAAGCTTAATGTCAACTAAATCTGCTTGTATGACATAGAATTGTTTCTTTGTTGTAAAAAAATCCACATTTTTGGTCCATATTTTGACATGTATGTGTCGTTCATTTCTCTGCTGCTGACCTACACAGGTCATGGCTGAACTCTTTAATCATCCGAGAAATAAGGAAGGCAGGATTGAGACTGACGGGAGCTTAAGCAATGTGAATTTTTGCCATGGTGCTGGGTGGTTTTGCATCACCATGTAGAAGAACGGCTCAAACCTCTATGCACATGGTGCATTTTAAATTGTTTCCAGCAACATATGTTTATTTAAACAATTGCTTGTGAGTGAGGGAGACAGACAGAGCAATGAGGATGGGGGAGGCTGGGGCAAATATGAGCTGAATTGAATAGTGCCAGTTAAACTGTGCACTCTTCAGCAGGACCAATTAGAACACAATGAGGCAAATCCAGTTTCCTCTGCCTCTCACAGGCACATAGGACCAGAGACAAAGCAGAAGTTGTATGTCTGATTCCTGGCTTCACGCCCCAGCCCAGTGAGCCCTGGTCTACACAAGGACTTTAGGTCGAATTTAGCAGCGTTAAATCGATGTAAACCTGCACCCGTCCACACAATGAATCCCTTTATTTCGACTTAAAGAGCTCTTAAAATCGATTTCCTTACTCCACCCCTGACAAGTGGATTAGGGCTTAAATCGACCTTGCTGGCTCGAATTTGGGGTACTGTGGACACAATTCGACGGTATTGGCCTCCGGGAGCTATCCCAGAATGCTCCATTGTGACCGCTCTGGACAGCACTCTCAACTCAGATGCACTGGCCAGGTAGACAGGAAAAGAACCGCGAACTTTTGAATCTCATTTCCTGTTTGGCCAGCGTGGCAAGCTGCAGGTGACCATGCAGAGCTCATCAGCACAGGTGACCATGATGGAGTCCCAGAATCGCAAAAGAGCTCCAGCATGGACCGAACGGGAGGTACGGGATCTGATCGCTGTTTGGGGAGAGGAATCCGTGCTATCAGAACTCCGTTACAGTTTTCAAAATGCCAAAACCTTTGTCAAAATCTCCCAGGGCATGAAGGACAGAGGCCATAACAGGGACCCGAAGCAGTGCCGCGTGAAACTGAAGGAGCTGAGGCAAGCCTACCAGAAAACCAGAGAGGCGAACGGCCACTCCGGGTCAGAGCCCCAAACATGCCGCTTCTATGATGAGCTGCATGCTATTTTAGGGGGTCCAGCCACCACTACCCCAGCCGTGTTGTTTGACTCCTTCAATGGAGATGGAGGCAATATGGAAGCAGGTTTTGGGGACGAAGAAGATGATGATGATGATGAGGAGGAGGTTGTAGATAGCTCACAGCAAGCAAGCGGAGAAACCGGTTTTCCCGTCAGCCAGGAACTGTTTCTCACCCTGGACCTGGAGCCAGTACCCCCCGAACCCACCCAAGGCTGCCTCCTGGACCCAGCAGGCGGAGAAGGGACCTCTGGTGAGTGTACCTTTTAAAATACTATACATGGTTTAAAAGCAAGCATGTGAAAGGATTACTTTGCCCTGGCATTCGCGGTTCTCCTAGATGTACTCCTAAAGCCTTTGCAAAAGGTTTCTGGGGAGGGCAGCCTTATTGTGTCCTTCATGGTAGGACACTTTACCACTCCAGGCCAGTAACACGTACTCGGGAATCATTGTAGAACAAAGCATTGCAGTGTATGTTTGCTGGCATTCAAACAACATCCGTTCTTTATCTCTCTCTGTTATCCTCAGGAGAGTGAGATATAATTCATGGTCACCTGGTTGAAATAGAGTGCTTTTCTTCAGGGGACACTCAGAGGAGCCCATTCCTGCTGGGCTGTTTGCCTGTGGCTAAACAGAAATGTTCCCCGCTGTTAGCCACAGGGAGGGGGGAAGGTTGAGGGGGTAGCCACGCGGTGGGGGGAAGCAAAATGCGACCTTGTAACGAAAGCACATGTGCTATGTATATAATGTTAACAGCAAGGTTTACCCTGAAAGAGTGTAGCCACTGTTTTATAAAATGTGTCTTTTTAAATACCGCTGTCCCTTTTTTTTTCTCCACCAGCTGCATGTGTTTCAATGATCACAGGATCTTCTCCTTCCCAGAGGCTAGTGAAGCTTAGAAAGAAAAAAAAACGCACTCGCGATGAAATGTTCTCCGAGCTCATGCTGTCCTCCCGCACTGACAGAGCACAGACGAATGCGTGGAGGCAAATAATGTCAGAGTGCAGGAAAGCACAAAATGACCGGGAGGAGAGGTGGCGGGCTGAAGAGAGTAAGTGGCGGGCTGACGAGAGTAAGTGGCGGGCTGAAGACAGGGCTGAAGCTCAAACGTGGCGGCAGCGTGATGAGAGGAGGCAGGATTCAATGCTGAGGCTGCTGGAGGATCAAACCAGTATGCTCCAGTGTATGGCTGAGCTGCAGCAAAGGCCTCCTCGCCTGGTATCGCTTTGCCAGGTTCCGGTGCTGCATATACTGCTGGATAATGCGCGTGGTGTTTAATGTGCTCCTAATTGCCAAAGTGAGCTGAGCGGCCTCCATGCTTGCCTTGGTATGGCGTCCGCACAGAAAAAAGGCGCGGAATGATTGTCTGCCGTTGCTCTGACGGAGGGAGGGGCGACCGACGACATGGCTTACAGGGTTGGCTTCAGGGAGCTAAAATCAACAAAGGGGGTGTCTTTACATCTGCCTGCCTGGCAGAAGATGGTACAGTACGACTGCTAGCAATCCGTATCGCCTGCCTGCTCACCATAAGACGGTTATGCCAGGAGCACCTCGGACACGACGAGGACGACTACCAGTCATACTGCACCGTCTGCTGCCAGAAGGCAATGGGTTGCTGCTACTGTGTAGCAAAGCCGTACCACGTCTGCCAGCACCCAGGAGACATAGGGTGACGGTTACCTGAGCGGGCTCCATGCTTGCCGTGGTATGGCGTCTGCACAGGTAACTCAGGAAAAAAGGCGCGAAATGATTGTTTGCCCTTGCTTTCACGGAGGGAGAGAGGGAACGGGGGCCTGACGATACGTACCCAGAACCACCCGCAACAATGTTTTAGCCCCATCAGAGTGCTCCATTGTGACTGCTCTGGACAGCACTCTCAGTCTGCCGTTGCTCTGACGCAGGGAGGGGCAACTGACGACACGGCTTACAGGGTTGGCTTCAGGGAGCTAAAATCAACAAAGGGGGTGTCTTTACATCAAGGAGTATTTCAGGCAGGACTTCACAGAGGGTTCCAATAAGAAATGGTGCACCTAAGTTATCGTTCTTATTGGAACAAGGAGGTTAGCCTGGCCTCTGATTGATACATGGCTAGATTTACCTCGCTGCACCTTCTCTGTGAGTGACTGCAGTGTGACCTAGAGGAATGAGTCCCCTAGTCAGGGGAGGGGGGGAAGCAAATGAGTACAAAACAAATCTGGTCTATTTCTTGTTTTGATCCACTCCATCTATCTTTTACATCTTTAGCTGGCAGCAGACGGTGCAGAAGGACTGCATGCCATCCACATCTCATGGCTGCTCAGCAGAAGATGGTACAGTACGACTGCTAGCAATCCTCATCTCTTGCCTGCCTGGCAGAAGATGGTACAGTACGACTGCTAGCAATCCGTATCGCCTGCCTGCTCACCATAAGACGGTTCAATAGGACTGACTGCAGGACTAAAGAGAATGACCTGGTCAAGTCACTCCAAATTTAGTCCCTGCGCCCATGTCTGCCCAGGCGCTCCCAGCTGACTTGGCCAGGAGCACCTCGGACATGACGATGACGGCTACCAGTCGTACTGTACCGTCTGCTGCCACAAGGCAAGGGGTTGCTGCTACTGTGTAGCAATGCCGTACCGCGTCTGCCAGCACCCAGGAGACATAGGGTGACGGTTACCTGAGCGGGCTCCATGCTTGCCGTGGTATGGCGTCTGCACAGGTAACTCAGGAAAAAAGGCGCGAAACGATTGTCTGCCCTTGCTTTCATGGAGGGAGGGAGGGAACGGGGGCCTGACGATATGTACCCAGAACCACCCTCGACAATGTTTTAGCCCCATCAGGCATTGGGATCTCAACCCAGAATTCCAATGGGCAGCAGAGACTGCGGGAACTGTGGGATAGCTACCCACAGTGCAACGCTCCGGAAGTCGACTCTAGCCTCGGTACTGTGGAAGCGCTCCGCCGAGTTAATGCACTTTGAGCATTTTCTGTGGGGAACACACACTCGAATATATAAAACCGATTTCTAAAAAACCGACCTCTATAAATTCGACCTTATTCCGTAGTGTAGACATACCCTCAGTCATGGATTAAAGCTAGAGCTGGGTGAGAAATGTTTTTCCCATTCAGAAAAGATTTTCATGATTTCAAAACTTGTTTTCATTCTCCATCGAGACGAAACTGAGATCTGTCCATTTATTTTTGTGTAAAAAACCCGAACTTGCCTCTGTGATGTGGAAGACACGGGAAATTGATCCCACTAACCACTCTCTTTCTCTGGCCAGAAATAACCTCCTGGACCTTTTCAATGAAACTATCAGCTAAACCGCTCCTTTCCCGCAAAAACCATTGCTTAAATGGTTCCAAACTCCTCTAATTATACTCCACAGGGGTCCATATGACTTAGCACTGGCAGGGACACAATTATGAAGATGCATCTGTTAAACCACATACCCCCTACCCCTGTTATAGGGAAACTGGGATATATTGACTGGGGGACTATTTTCAGAGTAGCAGCCGTGTTAGTCTGTATCCATAAAAAGAAAAGGAGTACTTGTGGCACCTTAGAGACTAACCAATTTATTTGAGCATGAGCTTTCGTGAGCTACAGCTCACTTCATCAGATGCATACTGTGGAAACTGCAGCAGACTTTATATATACACAGAGAATATGAAACAATACCTCCTCCCACCCCACTGTCCTGCTGGTAATAGCTTATCTAAAGTGATCATCAGGTTTAAATGGCCCACCTGATGATCACTTTAGATAAGCTATTACCAGCAGGACAGTGGGGTGGGAGGAGGTATTGTTTCATATTCTCTGTGTATATATAAAGTCTGCTGCAGTTTCCACAGTATGCATCTGATGAAGTGAGGTGTAGCTCACGAAAGCTCATGCTCAAATAAATTGGTTAGTCTCTAAGGTGCCACAAGTACTCTTTTCTTTTTGCGAATACAGACTAACACGGCTGTTACTCTGAAACCTATGCTCTAATAAATTTGTTAGTCTCTAAGGTGCCACAAGTCCTCCTTTTTTGGGCGGTGGGGACGGGACTATTGTGTCCCTGTGACTGAAATTGAGACTGTAGAGGAGTTCTTCTGCCACTTGGTGGCTTGGAGGAGTATCGACTCTGTTGCAGCCTCAACCTCTCTCCTCTCCTGCATTTGCAGACCTCCTCCATGAACAGCCAAAGCTACTAAGGCTGAGAGTTGGCCCTAATGTATCGACATAATGTACGTGTATGTTTGGGTGCATGGTAGCAAAAGTACATTTCCTTTCTGCTGTTTACTTGTGTGATGTGTAACTATGGAGACAATATTTGTATAAATACAATAAAGTTCGGTAGTTTCTTGAATCGCTGTTTGTTTGTTTGTTTGTTTGTTCGTTTGGAAATTCAGCTTATAGTTCAGTAAAATTGTAATGTATCCATGTCTTAATAATAGTATTTATTTGCAACAAATACTAATGCCTGTGAAAGCATGCATGCTTTGGGGATTCAAAGGAAGTTCATTTCTGTAATGTGGTTAGGTAACGTGGTAAGGTTGTTGTAATAATAATCAGTGGTCATTCTCTCACCCTCACCGTTGTTGCAAACACTTTACTACCCACATTGCCATACCAACGACAGTGTCTATATGGACATACACCATGTAAAGGGAAGGTGTCAAATGAAGGTGAAAAGAGGTATTACTTGTAGTGTTTTTGTAGTTTTAAGTTTCCCTATTGATAACTTTTTCAAAAATGTACCTGACTTTATTGACACATCGCATCTTGCTCAACACCAAAATGGCTTGGTCTAGAAACTCTGTTTCTTTTATTCTGCTAGCCTTGTTGAGGAAACATGCCATTTAGTAGGGTTTTGTTGGTTGTTCGGCTTTTGGGTTTTTTGCAGGACTTAGAGGAGAAATTGAAGAGATGTATCAAATACAAACTGCTTATGATGGGGTGTATAAGGCAGGCTGGGAAGAGATTAAAGGGAGTCATTTGAGCAGTGATAGAAAGAGGAGGCAGTGGAAGCTCAGGAAAAGGAAGTAGAAATGCTTGCCCCGCCCTGCATTTAGGAGGCAAGGAGGAACTGGGATACTGAAGGACTCTACTGCTTATAAGATAAACTGTAAAGGTAAGTTACTCATGTTCACTTACATGTAAAGTGGTAAATTAAGTATTGATTGTTCCTGATCCTCCCCTACCAGCTGAAGCAAACCATTTTCCTCATTCTCCTCCTTTTTCCCCCCGAGACAGGTTGAAGGAAACTTTGCCCTCACTCCACTTAGACTAGATGAGGGACGAAAATGCTCTGGCAGAGATGTATGTTACTTCCAGTGGCACGATGCAGTATTTTATCTTTCCCTCTCTTTCCTGTTATCTGTATGTGTATATAGAGCAATTTTTAAGTGTTTATAAATAATAAATTGACCAGCTACTGATTCCAGGCATGAGCAGATGTCAGGACCTGATGGCTAACACCACTGCTCTTAGGAAAAAGTGCCATGAGATATTTAATTACCACAAGCAGTTGGGAAGGACCTCAGGTTTTTTATCTCAGTTGAAAGATAGCATATCCAGTGCCAAATTAGGATATTGATTCCTTAATGAGTCAGGGAAGATTGCTACCTGCTGAACTGACAACATTACTTCTTAATGCACCTAGGTTTTCCTTGGAGGTCTTCAATCCAGGCCCAACACTGCTTAATTTGAGCTAACTGTGTTGACATAACATATGTAGACTTCTGCAATGCATTTAACTTCGTACTGCACAACATTCCGATAAAAAAAAATTATCACTGTATGTTAGGGGGCTTATTCCTTCACCCACTTACTTCCCTGGTCCTTCTCGCATGAACAGAGAGCAACAATACCCGAAGTCCAAAGGTGCAAACAATTCGATGTTTATTGGGGTGAACTTCCAGCAAGCATGATTCCAGTTTCTTTCCTTAGTATCCTCCTTCCCAGCTCTGACACCACAGAGCCTTACACCTGTGTCCCTGTTCCCATTCCTACCCTTAGCCAAACATGATTCCAACTTCCTTACTCCCATTCCCTGTTCCCATTTCCCCCTTTAGCAAAACATGATTCCAATTTTCTTACCCCCATTCCCTGTTCCCATCTCACACACCCACATGCTCACCCCCCGTCACTTCCTCATTGACTACAGATTATATAGTAAAACTTGAGTTCTGCTTAGCTATACCTTAACCAATCATTTTCCTGAAATTTAACTAACCAATCCTAACATATTGTAACATGATTATGTAACCAATTATATCCCACCACCTCAATTAGTTTACACCCAGCAAAATTAATTATACAGCAGACAGGAACAATCACAGAACCAGACAGAGATTATACAGACAAACAACAGCAAAGTGGGAACTATAATGACAAAACAATACAGAAGTGAGGATTTCACATCCCAGCTATTGATAAGTGAGTTCTTGCCAGACAGGATGCTATCAAACTAAGTTTCCTTTTACATTTTCTAGGCACTTCCCTTTCTCTGGAGGTGATAGGAATACAATCCTGTCCTGATAGTGCCTAACAGCCCAATAGCACCTTATTTCAATGTGACTAGTTTGGAATGTGAGGATGTGACCGTTCGCTTCCCAGCTTATGGCTGCCTCTGCTGCTTAGCCAAAGGCCTGAGCCTAAGCACAGGGCCACAAACTGTCACAGTAAGAGAAGGCCCTTACACTGGCAGACAGTGGTTTTGATTCTTTCTTTCTTTTATACCTCTATCACTAGCCAAGTAATAAGAATACACCTAAATTCTTAGAGTATAGGCCTTTACAGACAGGCCTGAATATCTATATCCTAACACTGTACAATATAAATATAGGACATATTAAATGCATTCAAAACTGCCTAAGTGATAGCTCTCCATAGGTAACTGTAAATGGCGAATCATCATCCAAAAGGGGAGCGTCTAGTCCCACAGGGATCTGTTCTTGTCCCAATGCTAGTCAATAGCTTTATTAAAGCTTTGCTGATTAAAATTTGCAAATGACACTAAATTGGTGGAGCGGAAAATAATGAAAAGTTCATGTCATTTCTACAGAGCAATCTGGATGTCTCAGTAAACTGGGCTCATTTGAACAACACGTGTTGTAATGTAGCAAACAACAAGGTCATACATCTGGGGGGGAAAAGAATGTAGGTTACATTTAGAGGATCGGGGATTATATTCTGAAAGCAGTCGCGCTGAAAAGGATTTAGGGGTCCTGGTGGATATCCAATTTAACGTGAACTCCCAGAGCAATGCTATAGCAAAGGGGGCTAATGTTTGGCTGTTTATGCAGGGGAATATCAAGTGGGAGTAGGGAGGTGTTGTTACCTCTGTAATTTGTGAAACCAATGCTGGAAAATACTTTGTCTAGTTTTAGGGTTTCCACTTCAAAAATAATGTTGACAAACTGGAATGGGTTCAGAAAAGAGCAAAAAAGACTGGTTCAGTGTCTGGAAAACCTGCCTTGCAGTGAGACTAAAGAAGCACAATCTATTTAGCTCACGAAGAAGAAGGTTAAGAGGTGACTTGATTGCAGCCTACAAGTACGTACATGGGGAGAAGATTTCTAATAGAGGGCTCCTTAATCTAGCAGATAAAAGCAGAACAAGATCCAAAGGCTGAAAGCTGAAGCCAGATAACAGGTTAGATATAAAGCACTAATTTTTAACAGTCAGATTCAAGGTAATGAATCATCGGAACAACTTCCCACAGATCTGGTGGATTTTCTATCACTTTAAGTCTTTAAATCAAGAGTGGATGTCTTTCCAGAAAAAAAAAAGTTTT